AAACAGATGTCTGGATGGAATGCTAGCTGTGTGGTCGTGGGCTCTTTCACTCAGCTTTCCTGCACTTCACTTACCTTAGCCACCCTGCCTATAAAATAAAATTCCCAACTGGACCTACCTCAGAGGGTTATGAAGATGAGATGCATGATTACAAGTTAAAACCACCTCCGATGCATATGAAGCTCTTGACAGATATTTTCTGTGATCGTTACACTTCTATTTTTTATAGGGGTGGTAGTTGTCATTCACGGACTAACGTTTTTTACCGTGAGAGAGAGTTTCCCCAAGTTTTCTGAAGTGCCTTTTCACGATGAAAATGTTTCTCCTTCTCAACTTTGATTTTTTTTTTCTTAAGTACCATACTACGTGGAGTACTAACTGGTAGGGCTGTTGGGTAGATAATCGAGCAGCTGTTATCTATGAAATGGATCCTTAGTGTGCTGAGGATTAGCGTTGTCCATCCTCAGAAGGTTTCAAATATAAGGGGAGATTGTGGCAGTCACGATGTCTTCTAACCCTTTGTTGAAACGGAATCTGAGCAGCTCAAATGTATACAGCTTTCTAAAGCAGAGATGCTTGACTGAAGAAGGCATAGGTCTGGAGCCTCTGTTTCCCTCTAGCCTATGCCTTCACCAACTCTGACAATTTATAGGAGCTCCATGGAATAGAATTTGAAAGACAGTCTGTAGAATATCACTTAGTAGACAACAGGGAGGAGGCAGACAAGGTAGACGTGAATATCTAGTCCAGCTTTAGGATTATGTGGTTCTGAGTATTAACTGAATGCCTCCTTGTGTGTGTACACTCTGTTGGGTACTGGAAGTTGGGTAATATGTGGCCTCACAGAGCTCACACTTTTAGATTGGAATCCATGCATGATATTTGTATATTTTCAAACCCACTTAGAGTGAGGTAATTGTTACTCAGGACTTTATTTAATCTTACATGTCTCCGTACTGATTATGGTGTATTTCCATGTCACTCAGAAGAATGCTGTCCTTCTTGACCTTTTCATTGATTTTCCTTTTCATTCTTTGAATTAACACCACATGTACCCCCTAACTACTTCTGTATCTGGTTTGTGTGTGCAACTTTCTGTGCAATGCTAGGTAGCATATATTCCAAGGAAATGGATGTGGGCTGAATTAAGGACCTGAAGGGGCATCTTTTCAAAGATGGGCAAAGTTAGTAAGAAATAAAGAAGCAACCCAATGCTGTTTCCTCATCCCCTCTGCCACAGGCAGGTCAAGTCACACAACTTGTGTAAGAATTCAAGTTGGGGAGCTCCTTAAGGGCGTTCTGAGAGACATCTCTGTTGGAACTCCCACAGCCTATCATTCACTATATGCGCTGGTATATTTTACTTGCCTTTCCTACCTTAGGATATATCCCCGAATTTGGCCTCAGGCCCGAGAACTGACCCACTGACGACAGAAGATGCAGGAAGGGAAAGGTGTCTGTTATCTTTTCATTCAGCATATGAAGAGCATAGTCCAGTCTTTTGAGGTCCTTCTCTGGAACACAGACATTCCCAGCCACGAGGGACAGAGACTCTGTGAGCAGCTGGCCGACAGCCTTGCCCGCAAATGAGTCACTGGTAAGTTGGCTTCAGGCTATGGAGACCCTTAGCTTCTCCCCAGGTCCAAGCCTGGCGTAAGTCACTTGGCTCTTAGAGTGACATTGTCCTGCTGTTTTGTGCCCTTCTCAGCCTATTGATAGTGATGCTGTCAGGTAGAAATACCTAGGGGCCCAAGGTGAGCCCCCCACAGACATTTTTTTCTTTTAAGGATAATTGATTTACACTGAAGTGGCCCACGGTAGTATCAGTTCTGTGAGCTTTGAGAAATGCATACAGTGGTGTAAGCACCGCCGCAATCAAGACATAGAGCAGTTCTGCCACCACTGAAAGGGCCTTTGTGCCTCTGTGTAGTCAACCATCGTGCCCAACCCGTTACTGGCAACGGCTGAATCTGTCTGCTGTCCCCACAGATTTTCCGTCTCCAGAACGTATGAGTAGTTAGTTTCCTTTTACACTACGGAGTCCTGTTCCGTTATACGGACGCACCATTTCTGTTATCCGTTCACTCCTTGAAGAACATTTGGATTATTTCCAGTTTGGGGCTATGACGAATAATAGCTATAAAGATTCACATGCAGGTTTTCGTGTGGAAAATATGTGTGGTTTTTTAAATGTTTGTTTATTTTGAGAGAGAGAATGAGTAGGGGAGAGGGACAGGAGGCAGGTGGCAGGAGAGAAAGAAAATCCCAAGCACTGAATGTGGAGCCTCACTCGGAGCTCGATTCCATGAACTGTGAGATCATGACCTGAGCAGAAATCAGGAGTCAGACCCTTAATCTACTGAGCCCCCCAGGGCCCCGGAAAGTATGTTCTCGCTTCACTTTACCTGGGTAACTATCTGAGAGTGGGGTTGCTGGGTCACGGGATAAGTATACACTTAACCCAGAAGGAACTGACTGCTCCGCACTGCTTTCCAGTGTGACCATAGTATTTCAGGTCCCACTGGCAATGTGGGAAAGTTACACCTGCTCCCCAATATTACACCCGCTCCCCAATATTAACTTTTGGTATTTGCGGGCTGTTGCTCTTGTGCTTTTTGTCTTTTTAGGAGTTTTAATAAGTGTGTGTGGGAGATACAGCATTGTGGTTTTAATTTGCATTTCCCTGATGACTAATTTGTTGCAGGATCTTTTCACATGCCTATTGGCTCTTCTTGTATCTTTGGTGAAGCGAGTGTTCGTATTTTGTCATTTTAAAATGGGTTTGTTTTCTTATTATCAAGTCTTGAAGGTTCTTTACATTTCTGGATACAAGTACTTTATGAGATATTTAACTTGCAAGTATTTTCTCCTGGTTTGTGGCTTATCTTTTCACTTTCCTCACAGTGTCTTTTGGAGAGCAGAATTTCTTAATTTTATGAAGTACAACTTATGGATCATGCTTTCGTAGTTGTAGCTAAGAACTCTTTACCTAAAAATAAGGTCCTTTGCCTTTCTGTATAAATTTTACAATCCGCTTGCCATTATCCGTAAACAACAACAACAACAAAAATGACACTGTTTTCAATCTATGAAAACTTTGAGGAAAATTGACATTCTTAATATTGAGTTTTCTAATTAATGATCATCATGCCTTAGGCAGAGGAAGTTCCCTTTCTGGTTTTTTCTTCTATTTATTCATATTTGCATAAACAAACAAATCTTTCGTTTTTTATTTTATGATGGTAACTGCTGACAACAGGGAAAACAATTATGTCTCCTAATGCAAACATGAGTAGACATGGTGCAACCAAGAAATGTTTCCAACTGATTTGAGGGAGTTCATTTCTTATTCCTTATTTTCTGAATAGATGTTTAATCCTGTCACATGCTTTTTATTTATTTAGTGAAATGATTATGTTTTTATTATGTTGAGTACTTTTATAGTGTGCTCTGGATGTTTTGAATATTGTAAGACCCTGGGTCTTGTTAAAATCCTCTGGAAATTATTATTTTATTAAAAAAATTTTTTAAAGCCACAATGCTATACTCCCCCCAACACACACTTACTGAAATTGCTAAAAAGACAGAAAGCACAGGAACAACCTGAAAATATCAAAAGTTAATATTGGGGAGCAGGTGTAACTTTCCCACAACCAACCCCCTTCGGTTCAGACTCCAGAGTCTGTCTCCCCTTCTTCAGGTGGGAGCCACTGTCAGGTGGGTGTTCGGTGCCTCTGAGATGCTGTCTCGGTCAGTCTAGCAAATACATTCCTCGGGTTTAGTCTGGACTATTGCTGGTTTACGTGGTAATTCAGCTCTCTAATACTTTGCCATGATCCCTCGGGTCTATTCCACACATATTCAGTTTGGGGACAAGCCCTGAGACTTTTGTCACTCATAGACAGCTTTCCAGACTCTCTTCTCTTTGGTATTTCTTCTATTCTTTCCAGTTTCCCAGGGTCCCTTTTCCCAGTTCCTCTGTTCAGAAAGAGTGAGTTCTCCCAGAGATTTCCCTTCTCACACTGTGTTGCAGATCTTTTTTTTTTTTCTTAAGTTTATTTATTCTGGGAGAGAGTGTGCTTGAGCCTGTGAGGGGCAGAGAGAGTGAGAGAGAGAATCACAAGCATGGAACCTGACCCTGGGGGGTGGGAGGAGGGGCTTGAAACCACAAACCATGAGATCATGCCCTGAGCCAAAGTCAAGAGTCAAGACACGTAACTGACTGAGCCCCCCGCGCCGCCCCCCCCATCCCTTGCACTGTGTTGCAGTTCTGAATGACAGGGGATACTTAAAGAGCAAGGAGGCAAGAAAATTGAGAGAGAGAAAATCAAAGGAGGGTATTCTTCACACTTTTCAGGCAAGAGATCCCTTTTTCCTGTTTTTTTTTTTTTAATCAGAAAGCTAGATTCTCTTTTGTGGTATAAGGTTTAGGCAGTGGCAGTACTGTTCTGCAACTGGGCTGCTCTCTAAACAGGGTCAGGAAAGAAAAGAAAAAGAAGGAGAGAAGTTTCCCTTCATGCTCTGCACCGGCTTCCGTGCAAGGTGCCTTTGTCCAGCCATTCAGTTGGAAGGGTTAGGTGGTTTCTCCTCAAGTTTGTTTCCTCAGAGACTGCAGTAGCTTCCTTATGACAACCTCACAGGACACACGACCGTGGTCTAGCCACCAGCGATGGGCCAAAACTGAAGGTTACACCTGGAGAAGCCCGGAAGGCAGCTGAGCAAGTGTTCTATGTACTGGTGAACAAAAGGCATCTTAAACTTTTTGCTGTGACTTGGGAGCAAATGTCCTGGTGATGACTGGCCACCCCAGGAGCACACTGGTTTGCTCGGGAGAGCCTGCCAGGCTGCTTCTCTGAAGACGCGGCCCAAGCCGCCTCTCCCGGCGCGTTCTGAGCAAGCGCGTAGTGTTCCGTCTCTGATCATACAGGCCCTCACATCTGTAACGTGTGAAACGGAATCTGCTCATTTTCTGACTAGCTGTTTCTGTTTTTGGTTCTCAGAGAATCACAACAATAAGAAGGATGAGGATGGACAGGAGCCACTGGCACCCAGGTAACTGAATGATGAAAGGGCTGGTAATGGAATAGTGAAGTCTAGGGAAGATTCCAGAAGCAAGCAACCAAGAGGCCGAAGTCCCAGATTTGGGGAGAAAATTCCAGAAACTGCTGAGTGTACCGATTTCATTTGTTCATCATACAATGAAGTGTCCTTTTATTTATTTTTACTTATTTTTAATGTTTATATTTGAGAGAGAAAGAGAGACAGAGATCGCAAGCTGGGAAGGGGGCAGAGAGAGAGGGAGACACAGAATCCGAAGGAGGCCCTTGGGCTCAAGACCATGAGATCATGACCTGAGCTGAAGTTAGACGCTTGCCCGACTGAGCCACTCAGGTGCCCCAGTGATGTGTTCTTTTAAACAGTATTGTCTGTTCACAGTGAAGTTTGTGTATTGGTTACCGTTTCCTAGTAATTCATCAGATTTTTTTAGCTAAAGTTACTCTGACATACAGGTAAACCAGCCAGAGAGCCCTGGTGTCTGTGTTCTAAAAACCTGTATGGTAAAAAAAGAAAAAAAAATCAAAGTGAGACATTATCTCAGGAGACAGTATTCAGGGGACGACTTCATACAATAGTAAACAAAATATGTCTGCAGCATTTTAAAACCAGTATTCTAGGTCTCTGTGTGTCATAAATGCTTTTTAGAATAGTTGAGTCTACTTCCTCATCCGCAGGTCAGTACACTGAGCACCTGCAACTCCCTTCTACCCCAACTCTAGCCCTCATGCGCCCCAGTCAGAAGTGGATCGTTATGCTTTCTCTCTCATCCAGATGGCCTCTTTGCTTTCTGGTGTCGCTTCCAGGAGCTTCAGAGAGGACCAGCTACGAAGCTGTGGTTCTAGGTTGCGTTCATTTAATCTCCGGTTTTACCCCCCCTGCCATGCTCCCTAGGCCCAGCAGGGGGTGCCAGAAGAAAGCAGAGGATGAAGCCCTGGGAGACTCCCTAGGTGAACGGTATTGGCCATGATTCCCAGCAGTTTCCCAGCACCAGTGCCTTCCTGCTGTACGTGCAGGAAGCCAGCCCTGCTGTGGCAGTCCCATGTGAGTACTCCCAGTATAAAGAGAATAAAACAGCAGAAGATGGGAGAATAAAGCTCCAGTAGTTTCTGCGTGCTTCCTGCCTCTGTCTAGGCTGAGTGAGGTAATCTCTGTAGGCAGTCACTGAAGATTAACCTTGAAAAAGTGATTAGGCTGGACACAGCTCTCAGACCAACTTTCAAGTACAGGTCCCTGGTAGGTCAGGTAATTTGTTGCCTTGTGCCTGGTCCATGCCTCACCTCAGTCCTTCTGGCCCCTGCTGGCATCTGCCAGCTGCCGGAATTGAGCCAAGCCAGCTTGGAGAATGATGGGATCATGGCCGACTCTGCCGCCACTTCAGCACGTGTGCGGAATCTGACAGACCTCCGCTAGACAAAGCATCTTAGCTTTCGGGAATGTTCTTGCTGATTACAGTTCCCGAACAGTGTTCCTCAAGCTTTTCTAGCTGTCCGAGAAATACTGGCAGTGCTGCCCATGGTTTTGGAGGTGCAGTTATCATGACTCCCCTCCCCAGCGCCCCTCAGGTGGCTTGCTTCTTCAGAAGGTTCCCCCTTAGTTCCAGAACATCAGGTAGTTTCCCCAAAGACGAGGCTCAGCTCATGGCAGCCCTTGGCTGAGTGACGAGGGTTCCCACCCTACGTGTTGCACCATTTTTAAATAACGCCTGTGAGTTTAGTCTCTGTGCTGTCATCTAATCTAAGCCAGCAACCAGCCTACCTACCAGAGAAAAGGCTGAGTCTGACAGCCATGCCCCCGGCATGCCCCTTTCCAAAGACCCAAGGTAGCCCGTGTAGCTCCCCCAGGTGCGCAAGAGCACCTCGGGGTGGCAGCCTCATTGGTATGTGTGTAGATTGAAGCCTCAACCTTCATTTCCTTTCCCTTTTTTGACTATTTGACTTTCCTTTAGGGATAAAAGTTTGGCTTGTTAGAGAACCATATGTCTCATGTCTTCTTATAGGAAGAGACTGTATTAATTCACTCACTGTTAACTGAGTTTTTTAATAGCAATAGAAGCCATATCAGGCTTTAGCTTTTTGCCAGTGGTGGGTGCCTTTTTGTACTCAGGTAGTCCCCTCACAAAGACTTCCTCATTCGCATTTCACTTGGAGATGTCTTTGTCATCTATTAGGCGATGTTCAGACACAAATCATGTGGGAGGGACATTCCCTAGTACCCGAAAGTCCTACATTCGAGGCGGCCACACCTTACCCCAGAAATGAGCCCTACTCAGCAGGCTGATTGAATATTTTACCATCTTATGACCACCTCCTTTATACTTCCTGTATCCTTGCGTGGGAGGCGGCCCCATGGAGTTTGCTTAGCACTGTGTCGTGCTTTGCTTGAAGGCCTACAGGCTCCTACGGGAGGTTCCCAGGTATTTCCTGATGAAAGAGGAAGTTGGCAGGAGAATGGGGCAAGGCGGGGATCTTGCTGAGAGGCCCTTGGCCACCCCGTTAGTGATACAGATTCTCCATTTTCTGCCTCATTCCCTGTCCTGGTGGAATGGCTGCAGAAGATGAGGTCCAGATCCTGCACTGGCACCTGAGCGAAGTTCTTTTCCTCAATGCCTGTCTTCAAGAAAAGCTGGAACATCATCTCAGCATTGCTGACCAAGGAGACGGTAGGGGAGGCCCAAGTCCATCTGCCTCTGGCAATATGTCTCTTTCTGAGGACTTGTAGGGTGCTCCAGGCCTTCACAGATTTCAAGGACTTGACATAGTTTACTTCACTTCTTCTTACAAATGGCCCAACTAGGGAGAATAGGGCAGGTATTAATATTCCTACTTTTTAGATGAGTCCGTAGGCTCACATAGAGATTTGCCCCAAGGCTGAGCTGTCCCTCCATCTTAGAGTTATCTGACCTCCAGAACCCTCCTTGTGACTCCCAGACCATATACTTCCTGCTGTTCCTCTCTTCTTGTGTGGTGGTCACTCAGTAGAACCCAGGTTGCTGAGCACCCCATTCGGCGGAGTGAGGCTCTCTGCTGCTGCCATCCTTGTCCCCCTCCCTGGTGTCTTGGTTACTCTTCATCCTCCTCAAGGTGGTTCGTCTCCACGCATCTACGTTTTACACTGTACTCACACAGAGGCCATCACTCCCCCGTCTTGGGCTGAGCCAGAACAGTGACTGGACCTCTTTGCACACCAAAAGGGCACTATTTAATGAGAAAAGTCTCCTTCATAATTTCAGCCATTGGGTTTGATAATACAAATGAATGAGCTGGCATTTGGTAAGGGCCTTGTGAAAATGAAGCTTTGGCACCCAAAACCTTTGAGTCCCCAGGGTTTTCTCCTGGGCTTAGATGGAAGGGGAAAAGGAATTGCAGAAGCATTATCTCAAGCAAATGTGTGTAACTCGCCTGAACTCTTATTTATTTCCTGCACTAGGGTACACTTCTACCTTCTGCAGGCAGATCTTAGACTCGGTTGCCTGCTGTACAATGAAAACAGAGAGCTCAGGGAAGAAAGTCTGAGTTCACTTGAATCGTATTTCCAGAGGTAAGTGGTCAAAACCCACAAGATGTCACTCTCAGAGCTTTCTTTTCTCTTGCCATACCCAGCTATAGTAACAGAAGATGGGGCAGGGGGGTGGGTAAGGCCACAGCTACCCCAAGCCTCTTGACTCCGAATTCTCATAGTTTTTCTCAATGTAGTGAGGACTGCCTCCTAGGTGCTCCCTCTACTGGTCCCTGGACTCGAGGCTCCAGGAGTTAGTAGCTCTGGGAAATTCACCTTTCAGGTACAAACCACACTCACTAAAGCAAGCCTGGGAAGAAAAGAACAGTCCTCTGAGGTGAGAGGACATAAGAGAACACTTATTTTAACTGAGTAAAATTTGCCAAAGTTAGATAAACTGTGTCTCAGAATGCTGAAAGAACAGGCAAACGGAATTTAGATTCTAGGTCAGTAGTCTTTGAGGAAGTATGAGGACCAGAAAGTGCCATTAGCCTAAAGAGCAAAACCCCAATTTCCAAACTGATGAAAATGAAGTACTAAAAAATTGAAATACATATAGCTTATATTGGTAATAAAAGACAAACTTGTATTTGTATAAGTGAAATATTGATACAAAATACAAACTGTTGCACTCAAACTATAATACTCCAGTCACCTTATGGTTCCTAACTCTTATCATTAAAGAGAAAAGCAAAACCAAACCAAATGGCCTTCAGATTGGCAAAAATACGTACAGACCTGCAAAAAGCCTTCAGCCTGTCCCCTATACACCAGACTCAGTATTTGCTGAGTTTTGCTGTGTGCAATGCCTGCCTCAGTAGATGTCCCTGCCTCATCTCTTCAGGGGCAGTTAAGGTCACCTGAGATTCCTTCTACCTTTTCATGTCTCTGCTGTTTTTTCTTAAGGACTCCTGTTGGGAGCCATTCTGAGCCCACCAGTCGAGAAATCTCCTGGTGAGGTTAAAGCAAGTTTGCATGGTCTCTTGCCAGTCAGATGATGACCGATATCCACCCCCCACTCAGTTATCTCTGCTTGAGCACCGACCCCCAGGGTACCTTGTTGATCAGTATTGGGAGTGACCTGTCCCCTTATTCCCCCACTGGTATGATGATTGCACCTTGTGAAGGAACTTATTGTGGGAACTTCTTCTTTTGTGATTATGGGAACAGACATCATGTCTCCAGCAGGTCCTGTTTCCCTCCATACTTTCCCTTGAGCTATGAACAGGCTAATGACCCTTACTCATAAAAGATTGACCTTTAGGGGCGCCTGGGTGGCTTAGTCGGTTAGGCGTCCGACTTTCGCTTAGGTCATGATCTCGCGGTTCGTGGGTTCGAGCCCCGCGTCGGGCTCTGTGCTGACTGCCGGCTCAGAGCCTGGAGCCTGTTTCAGAGTCTGTGACTCCCTCTCTCTCTGACCTTCCCCTGCTCACGCTGTCTCTCTCTCTCTCTCCTAGAAATAAATAAAAAACATTTAAAAAAAATTAAAAAAAAAAAAAAGATTGACCTTTATGTGTACAATTCTGTTTCTACCGTTGTGTTAGTCCAAGAGGTTCATACAGCTCAACTTGTAAATCAGCTAACCAAAAATGTCTCTCATGCCCTAGCTATTCAAGAAATCGTAGACAAAAAACTATAGACACAAAGGTAAATGCACTCGAAGATGCTATTCTATGTATTGGAAATGAGCTAACCTCTTTAAAGGTACGGTTGGCTCTCCAGTGCCATAAAGAATATAACTGGACAATCAAGTCTTGCCCGGAGACAAAGAGCCTAACTTAGAGAGAAGGAACAGATAAGGGCAGAAGATAAATAAATACATACACCTTTGCTAACTGATGGTGTATAGCAGCCCCTTCCCTAAGGCCTACATTCCACAAACACCTTCCCTTACCCTGGCAGCTGTGATGAGGATGGATAAAAGTATCTACAGCTTAACCTATGACCTAATCTTAGCGTTAATTAAAATGTGTATGTTATCCTGTTTTTCACTAAGAACACTCTGTTATTTTCTTAGTTACTCAACCTCACTATAATTGGAGCAGTTCTGCAAGAATACTTCTGTAAAACCTGTTTCTGTACATTTTCCAAAACATCTTATCAAAGAGAACTAACCATTGTAAAAACTCCACTTTCTGATGCCATGTTAATGTTTGACCTATAAATAAAGACACCAAAACTGACAGGGCAGAGATGCCTGCCTGGTGACCAGAAAGATTCTTGTGGCTCTCTTAAGGGATCCCTGGACCTGGCCGGAACTAGACTCTGGCACTCTTCTTGAATAGGGCTGTCCACTAGGTTACTGGAACCACTTGGCTGGTGGCTCAGAGCTGGAAGGACAGAGGAGTTCATGCCAATCCCACAGCAGCCAGTGACCCTACCAGTAAATCACTTCCCCATGATTGACAGGTCCAGGCATGGGAAAGCCTGGCTACCTGGCATGAGGGGGCCTTTGGGAAAAGGGAATGCAGAGGCCAGGTTTGTAAAGACCCAGGTAGACAACAGAAGGAGACTTTCCCCTGGGAAATCCAATTGAGAAAGAGATTCACCCGAGACCCTAAAAAGGAAGGTTAAAAATTTTAGGTCCAATGCGACAGAAGTCATGGTGGGACAGCTGGAGAGAAACAAAGAGAGCCATGGGAAATAGGGCAGGTCTCCTAAGTAGCTTTAAATCCTGTTGTCATTATAAGAACCTGGTAAGGGTTTTACCTAACACAAATGCCCAGCTACCATAGCCAGAGATTCTGATTAGTTTCATGTGAGGGGGACCTGGGTGGCTCAGCCTGTTAAGCAGCCGACTTTTGGCTTAGGTCATGATCTCACAGTTCGTGAGTTCGAGCCCCACACCGGCTCTGTGCTGACAGCTCTAAGCCTGGAGCCTGCGTTGGATTCTGTGTCTCCCTCTCTCTCTGCCCCTTCCATGCGCTCTCTCTCTCTCTCTCACACACACACACACACACTCTCTCTCTCTCTCTCTCTCACACACACACACACACACTCTCTCTCTCTCTCTCTCTCAAAGATTAAAAAAACAACAACAAAAAAGGACTCTATCATACCTTCTGGGAAGAATAAATCTCCCATTGTCTGCAGTCTGAGAAGAGGCTAGGTGTCTACAATGCTCAGCAGAGTCTGGACTTTTCCTGAACAACAACAACAACAAAAAATTAGATCACTTTTCTGGTCTTTGATTTTAGGAACTGTTTACTGTGAAATAAAGTAATTTACTGTGTTATTTGTGATTTTTCTTTCTAGGAACATAGGGCCCTATGGAGGGTCTCTAATTTGCTAACCTGAGTGTGAGATCTGATGATTAAGAAAGTCTTGGCTCTTTTCTGCATATGAAAGAAGATGAGGCAAAGATGCTGAGTGGAAAGAATAGTCTGGAACCAAAATGCTAACATTAGGATTTGGCAGTGAATGTCAGATTTTGAGAAAGGGAAGAGACCAGATGAGATTTAGGAAAAAGAGATCTAAGAAAAAGAAAAAAAAAAAGATCTAGGGAAAAAGAAACTTAGTGGAAACAACGGATATGTGAAGTTCCTTTTATGACATGTTCATTTGCTAATCTATAATTCTTCTTTTCCATCTTTGTAAATGTGATACAGTTGAGCTTAGTGTGTTATATGGTTTTTTGGGAATGTATATTTTTATTTTATTATGTTTTAAGTAAGTTATACACCCAGTGTGAGGCTTGAAATTCATGACCTTGAGATCGAGAGTGCCATGCTTTACTGACTGAGCTATTGAGGTGCCCCTGGAATGTATATTTTTTAAAAAATGACTGTTATACCTCAAATATTCACTGTTCACTATTATGAGAGTAAAATGGGCCCATCCTGAGGATCTACCTGGGAAAGTGCAATTAAAATTAAGGAGAGGGGTTGTGAGGGTCTCAAGCATGGTAACTTTCCCTAATGTAGCAGTTTTCCCACTTTCTTCACACCTGATCGTTCCTTCCTTCCCCCCTCCCTTCCTCCCTTCCAAAGTTTAAGTAATTGCTGCAGTCAATGTGTGGGGCTTGAACTCATGACCTGGAGATCAAGAATCATGTGCTCTCCAACTGAGCCAGCCAGGTGCCTCCTTTCTTCTTTAAATAAAGGCAAATGAAAAATAAGAGTATTCAGTTGCACCCTTGGAATCCATAGAAATTCTGGCTAAGGAAGTTTAAGGCAAGATTGGGGACTGCCTACTCACTGGTAGCCTGGCCAAGGTTGTCTGTCTGTCTGTTTCCTTTACTTTGGCAAGGAGACTCAACTCACTCTCGCCAGCCCTGGGAAGACAAAGATCCAGATGAGGTTGACTCATGGTAACTTAGGTCCTGAAATCTCCTAGGCTTTCTTCCCCTGTCTTTGATCTCTCTCGCACCCACCTAACAGGAGGGAATGAATGGCTGCCTTTCTTCCTGGTCAGGACTCTTTTGGGGTCCCTTGTGGACATGTCTGAGGTAGGCAGCTGGCTTCTCCTACGTGTGTCTCCCAAATTGGTTGTTTTTTAATGACCAGAAGTGACCCATGACATAACTCCCTGCCTGTGGGACGGGAAGAACATGGAGAGCCCGCAAGCTGCAGAGACTACAGTTCGCCAGCTTGCCCTGAAGGCACCGTCCACTTGCTCCTTGGGTTTCCTGTAAAGAAGAAAGTACTATACATCTTCTCTGCAGGCTAACCTGAAAGAAGTGTAGGTCCCAAAAGGTCACGAAGAACCTTGCCAAGTCGACTGCTGGCCTGGCCTTCCCGGACAGGCTTAAATGAGGCTGATTTTAGGATAAAAGCAAAGCAAAGGAGCAACGGTAGCCCAACCCGAGGATGCTGAGACTAAAGTCTCGAATCTTAATCTCTGAATGGGCTAAGGGCCGAGAGTTGAATCGGTTTCTCGCATTTATGAAGAGGGTCATTAGCCCAAATTCAGACAACGGGGCAGGAGCTTATCAGTGGTTCTTAATCGAGGGCCATCTTGCTCACCACCACCCCTTACCCCGGGGACAAGGCAATGTCTGGAAACTGTGGATTATCACGACTTGAGGATGTGTGTGTTTGGCTCCTAATGGCATTTAGTGCATGGGAACTCCCTCCGCAGCAGAGAATGGCCGTAGCAGGGTCAGTGGTGCCATGTTGAGAGCCCCTGGTGTAGATCAGTGTCTCCACTTTCTCTGCTAGACAACACTAACTACCGGCGGAATGGACATGGAGTCGGAGGAAAACTGGTGTCAGAGAGACCTCTGAGGGTTTGCTCTGGGCATGTGGGAGGATGTCCTTTGGCGTCAACTGAGGCAGGGGAGCAGCAGGGGCGGCAGGCTGTAGGGGGGGGACCCGGAGTCCAGGTTAGGGAAGCGAGCCTTCCTTGAAAGTGATCGCCTCTGTCGCTGGGAGTCCTTTGGGGGATGTTGGGGACTGTGAGGGTCTCACAGTGGGGCTCCATCCATCCCGCCTCCCCTCGGAGACTTCCTGTCTTCACAAGGCAGTCTGGAAAAGGAGGGACTCCAGGGCAGCTCTGAGATGCAGCAGGGAGGCCGGGATGGTCGATTTGCGTTGTGGCCTGTGTACCTGGTGGACTTGGGGGGTGGGCGGGGGAGGGGGGGCATTGGTTTCTCTTAGTGCTCAGTGGGGTCCCCTGAGGGCTCGTGTTTAGGGGGAAAGCAGGAAAGGAGCAGTCTTCTGGATCTTCCTGGGAAGGAAGTGATGAAGTTTTGGGTTATGGGGGAGAGGCGGGGGTGTTCTGGAGCTGATGACCAAGAATTCTTGAAGACGTCTTTGGTGTGAAAAAGGTGATTTTATTAAAGCCCGGGGACAGGTCCCAGGGGCAGAAAGAGCTGCACTGGGGGTATGAAGAATGGCTGATTTTATACTGTGGACTTGGGGGAGGTAAAGGCAAAAGGGAGGCCTCCAGAGGGGCTTTGATGCGCTAAAGTGGACCCTGAAGATCCCTGAGGCCTTGCTATTGTCAGGCTGAGGTGGTTTTCCCTCCAGCAAGGCATTAACATTAGGATGGTAGGGGGTTCCTGGAGAAATATTAGACTCTGTTTTCATTTGCCTCAGGTGTCTGTCTATGGGCTGCAGGTTATAAGGAAACTTCGTTTTACCTGCCATTTCCTTCTTGCCTTTGTTCCCCACATCACTGGTGAGAGGCCATGTTGGGGCTCCAGGAAACGGAGTCTATAGGTTTCTAGAGATTAGGCTATTGATAAGATTGCCTTTTTCTTGTAATTTACTGAGATATTTGCTGATGGAGACCTGAGTCCTGTATAACTCTCTATCAGTTGGCCATTTGTTTTCTTTCCTTTCCTTTGTCCTTGAGCAGCCAGCAGAGCCTGAGGAATGTCACATACATCCCATGGTGGGGGGGGGGGGCGGGGAGTAGCTTGCCCTTTGTTCTCAGCCCATCCCTTGATCCCACATCAGAAGGATGGCACCCCTAAGGGCGGGCAAGTCTAAGCTTTTTGATGCTGAATTCAGTGCTCTAACCAAGCTGCAGTTAATCCCAGGGTTGGAGAAAACTAGCACCTGGTGCCCTGGTAATGTAGTGGCTGGAACTTGGAGCTTTCCCCCACCATGGCCTGGGCTAGATTCTCGGTAAAGGTCATGTTTTGGTAACGCCTCCCTTCACGAGGGAATTCTCTTTACCCCTGAGCCTTCGGGGTGTTGCAAAAGACAGGTAGGTGCATTAGAGGCTCGGCAGCCAGTGCCGAAGCTCTGGTGAAGAAAGAGGAGGGAAATCCGCGGGTCGCTTCACCAACTCAGCGCCAACCAAACACGGGCTGCGGTGGCTAGTCAGGTCTATGTGCAGCATGTGCGGACTTACACGGCCATGTGCAGAGATGCGCACTCCCACCGGGTTCTGGCCCGGCCCCGAGGGCGCGAAGGACAGTCCCAGCCTCTGAGCATCCCCTGGAGATGGCCTGGTCCCCTGAGCCTCGTCAGTTCTCTTTGCGTGTAAACTGCTTACTGGGCATTTGGAACAGGTGCCTGGAGGAGATCCGCGAGGAAGGGAGGGAGGTGATCGGCAGTGCGATCTGCCCTCGCAGAGGCCGGGCTGCCGGTGTCCACGGGTCGTACCCTCTCCTGAAACAGTATAAGCTTTTGTACGCTCTAGCCAACAGTGTTGTGTGGGAAAGTACATATTTCTCAACATACTTAGCAGTTTTTTTTTCTGCCTTATTCTCTCTTTCCTCTTCTTGAACTCTAAATATGTTAAAATTTTTGATAATGCCCTGTAGGTTGCTTAAGGTTCTGTGTGTTTTTTCAATCCTTTTTCTTTGTGCTTCAGGTAGGATTGATGAGGGACCATAAGGCAAATGCGAGGGCCAAAGCGAGCTAGCACCCCCCCCCACCACCAAGGTGGGGTACTTGTGATATTCCTCAGGCACTCCTGGCTGCCCAAGGACAAGAAGGAAAAAAAAAAAACAGGCCAACTGTCAGAGATCACAGTCATGCAGGATGGACGTCTCCATCAGTTTACAAATATCTTAGTAAATGACAAGAGATCTCCAGAAACCTGTAGTTTCCTGGAGCCCCTTAATATCACCCTCCCCTCCATTGTGATGTGGGCAACAGAGGCAAGACGGAAATGGCAGGTAAAACTAAGTTTCTTTATAACCTGCAGTCCATTGAGGCAAATGCAGAGTAGAACACTCCTCCACAAACCTCTACTGTCCTAATGTTAATGCCCCCGGCATCTTTGGAGTCCTCTCTTAGGACAAAGGCCTCCCTTTTGTCTTTACCTCCCCGAGCCCCATAGTATATAACCAGTCACTCGTTAGAACCCCAGTGCAGCTCTTTCTACCCTCAGGTCCTGTCCTGCCGGGAGCCGCACCGGCGTCTCTGGATGACAGTCACAGCGAGGAAATGGCAGTGTTTGCACAGCTCCTGCCATGAGAAACGAAAACTGATATCTCTTTCTGCTACTACTGGCTCATGTTGAAAATGAGCCTGCTGGTATTGACCAGGCCTCACAATATTCCAGATCAGACCCATATTCTGAACACAGATACCTCATAAAGAAAAGCATATTCCTACCTTTACAAAAGAGATTTTAGATAAAAGCTCTGTGGACCATTGTCAAAAGGCTCTTTCTATGGGCCTTGCAGATCCAAGACTTAGATAATAAAGGGGGTTAAGAACACAAGAGGTACAATTGAGCCTGGTCCCATGTCAGAAGAGCCTAATTTATAGTTAAGGTACAGATAAGGGCAGAACATAACTTACTAACTGTTGACGTATGACAGTCCCTGACTCAAGGCCTACATTCCACAAACATCCTCCCTTACACTGGCAGCTGGGATGAGGATAGATAAGAGTAATTAAAACATAAACCCAGATGCAAAGACTGATACATATAGAGTTCCCTTGGTAGTTTCCACAAAACTAGTTCAAAAACATTCATCCTCTTGAGAGCCAGACAAAATGACTCCTAGCTTATCTATATACAACTTAACCTATATGTTATCCTGTCTTTTTTTTTTTTAATTTTTATTTATTTCTAGGAGAGAGAGAGAGAGAGAGACAGCGTGAGCAGGGGAGAGTCAGAGAGAGGGAGACACAGACTCTGAAACAGGCTCCAGGCTCTGAGGTGGCAGTCAGCACAGAGCCCGACACAGGGCTCGAACCCACGAACCGTGAGATCATGACCTAAGCGAAAGTCAGACGCTTAACCGACCAAGCCACCCAGGCGCCCCTATCCTGTCTCTCACTAAGAGCATCCTATTATTTCCTTGGTTGTAAATTCACTATGACTGGGATAATTCTGCAATTGATATCACAAAAGGCCTCCCATTGTAAAAAATTCCTTTTCTCTGACCTCATATTTTTGTTGAACCTTTAAATAAAGACACCAAAACTGACAGGACAGAGATGCCTGCCTGGTGATCAGAAAGAATCTCAGGGCTCTCTCACTCTCTCTCTCGCCGACACCGTCCATCCTTCAGGGACCCCTGGACCTGCCGGAGCCGGCCTCTGGCACTGTCCCTGTGCTTAAATAAAATCACCTTTTTGCACCAAAGACATCTTCAAGAATTCTTTCTCGGCTGTGGTCTCTGAACCCGACCACCCTTCCAAAACCTCATCAGGATGATCTGTTTCTCTTTCTTGGGATTCGTTGAATTTTTGTCATTTCCATTATGCGGTTAAATCCATCCAGCGATTGTTTTCTGAGAACTCTTTCCAATTTCGAAGTTTATATTTGGTCCTTCATTTACTATTTCTATTTCTTGGTAGTATTTTCTGACCATTTATTTTATTTATTTAAATGTTTTTATTAATTTAAATGTTTTTATTTCTGAGAGAGAGAGAGAAGCAGCATGAGCAGGGGAGGGTCAGAGAGAGAGAGACAGAATCTGAAGCAGGCTCCAGGCTCTGAGCTAGCTGTTAGCACAGAGCCCGACGTGGGGCTCAAACCCATGAACAGTGAGATCATGACCTGAGCGGAAGTCAGATGCTTAACTCACTGAGCCACCCAGGTGCCCCATGACTTTTTATTTTTTTAAATTATATTTCCCATCACAATCTTGAGAGAGTTATAATTGTGGCTTACTATTTCTTGCCTCCTGTTTTCAACATTTGAATCTCCTATGAGTATCTTTTCTTGAGCATGGGTAGAGTAATAACAGTATCATTCATTAGAGTATTTGGGGTGGTACTGTGGATATTGTGAGTGGTACACATAGAGATTCTAGATTGTTATGTATTACAAAAGCACTGAATGTTTATAAAAAGCAAGCCTGGCTGATCTCAAACTGCAAATTCTCTCCCTTGCCATGGATGACAGGTGAAATCTCCGTTGTCACTCGCAGGTTAGCTGAACTACTTGGAGTCTGCCTGACACATGTGATACCAGAAACTTGGGCCGAATTTTTTACACACAACGTAGAACTTCTCTTCAGTGGCTCCCCCCCCACCCTGCAATTCTGGGATTCCTCAACACCTCTTGGGTTTTCAAGTGCTATGCTTGCTCAAATATTGTTCTCTGCGGGGCGCCTGGGTGGCTTAGTCGGTTGAGCGTCCGACTTTCGCTTAGGTCATGATCTCGCAGTTCGTGGGTTCGAGCCCCGCGTCGGGCTCTGTGCTGACTGCCAGCTCAGAGCCTGGAGCTTGTTTCAGTCTGTGACTCCCTCTCTCTCTGACCCTCCCCTGCTCACATACTCTCTCTCTCTCTCCTAGAAATAAAAAAAAAAAAAAAAAAATATTGTTCTCTGCTCCTTTAACCCAGTAAGGCAGTTTGGCTTTGTACTGGAATTTAGCTGACCCATATAGGGCAGACCAAGGTGTGCTTTCAGCCAACACTTTGCAAAATGGAAACCTCACCGTGTGCAGTTCTTTCTTGTGTCTGCCTGCTTTTGTTCAGTTTCCCCAGCAACTTCTGATGATATTTTAGAAACGTATTTTGCCCCCAGTTTATTGGATACTATCTGTAGGAGTTACTCTGAGCCAGGTAACAGCCATCACCAGAAACTTAATTCATTCAGTAATGGCAGCTTGGCAAATTGGGCTTGAATCCCTGTATGGCTAAGCTTTGGCAAGCTGCTGAAATGATCTCTAAAGTCACTCCTGCCCCCTAGTGTGAAAAGGAGATATGAGAAAAACCAGGGTGTGCAGAGAAAGATAAATTTTGGGGGAACAAGTAGGAACAGCTGGGTGGTTATAGTTGAACCTTTGGGAAGTGACCAGAGTCCCCGGCACCATCACTTTTCTTCATTCACCATCCAATTTCAGACAGACCCTTCTGCATCTTGGCATTGTACACTGATTAAAACGCATTCCCTGACTGGGAATCGAACCCAGACCACAGCAGCGAAAGCGCCAAATCCTAACCACTAGACTACGGGGAAATTAACAGAGAGCCCTTTTCTCCAGCTCTACTGGAATGGTACTCTAACTGGTTTAGGTCTTCCTATCCTTCCCTGTGTTGCCTACCCCTCCAGGGATGCCTAAAAAGTCCTATCCTCCAAATTTTCTCTAAAAGGCAAGTCCGGAGGCCAACCTGAAAACTTTTCAGACATTACTTTTATCTGAAAACTATCCTTACCTCTGCTGAAAGTCACACTGTAAGACCTGTTGAGCAGGAAAACTAAAGAGGCAAATAAAAAGTTTGGGATGTGGCAAATGTTGAAATAAAACGGCCTAAAAAAGAATCTAAGACCCATGACAGAGAAATCCTGTGATCACGAAAACTGCATGGGCCGCCCCCAGGGTCCTCCACCCCCAGGCAAATCCTGAAACCCTTGTGGTTTCTATTCGGCCTGGTGGCCTGATCTTCCAACTTATTTTAACAGGTCAGAAAATATGGTTTGGTCTATGCTGGATATTTCACATTTTCAAACAGACAAATGCCCTAAGATGTCAACCTCTGCTATGGTACCTGCTTTTGATTAAAATATTGGACTTAAATGAGTCGAGTAGAATAAGCGACAGCGGCAGGAATCGGAAGGCCCGCCTCTGCCGGGAAGGCCGCGGGGAAGCTCAGGGTCAAAGTGCCGGCTGAGGAAGAGCGCGCACGCGGGCGGGTGCGGGTGGCGCCGACGGCAGGGCCGGGAGAGCGGGTCCCCGGGTCCCAGCACCGGCCACGGGCCGACCGCACGGACCGTCCCCGCCGAGGAGCAGCCGGCAGCCCAGGAGGCCCAGGGCTCCGACGCCCCTGACCGGCCGGCTCGGGCAGATCCCGGGAGCTGGAAGCTCGGCGGGGGGCGACGTCGGCCCCGGGGCCCCTCGTCCTGGAGGCGGAAACGCCGCTTTCGCTGTGGTACCCCAGGCCAGACTGCTGGGGGCGTCGGGGTCCTGCCCTCGGGGGAGGCGCGGGGTCCGCTGTCGGGGTGCCCCGGGACCGCGCGCACCAACTCGGCTGGCAGAACGGCAGGCGCGGGACCGAAGCTTCTCGGGGCGGGAGCGGGAGACGCTGTCACCGCCTCGTTTCCGTAGTGTAGTGGTTATCACGTTCGCCTCACACGCGAAAGGTCCCCGGTTCGAAGCCGGGCGGAAACATTCCTTTTCGTCAAAAGTTAATTCTCCTAACAGAAGGAAAAAAAGGGACAGGGGAGAGGGAAGGTTGGGAATGATCTTGCACCTGTGACTCCTAAGAACCGTGACAAAAAGTACCATTACTACCCTCTGTCCACTATGAGCCAGGACTCATTTGTCTTCTCTTAAGCAGATTGAAGAGGAGGCCACGGTGTTACTGGGTTCTCGCCGAAACGCACAATTTCAGTGTGGATTTTATATCAGGAAATCCCTTAAAAGTCCCTTCATTATCTTCTAGTTCCTAGATCTTCTCCATAGGCTGACCTTGGAGAAAACGATTAGGTATCTGAAGTATTGCTTAAGGGCGTGGCTCAACTTCCCCGCACTCCGGAGCGAAATCGCAGAACAAGTTTATTTCCCAGACAGAGGGAAGGTAGATAAATCTAAATCCCTACCTGGATCTCAAGCCAAGGATTTCCACGTCAATATTCCATATCCATGGCAATTAAAAGTATATATTTTATATTTTACCTAACTAAAGAACCCAACAGTCACTCAAGGATACCATATATATATTTCAATGACACAACCCTATTTACAAATGCAAAGAGAAAATGTGGTAAAAAGACACTCGGTGAAGCCCTGAGAGTGGAAGCCCCGGTGGTGGACAAGGGAAAGGATGTGGATAAACAGAAACTAGCTGAAACACGAGTGTGAAAAAGTCTTGCCTTAGAGCGCCCATGGTACTGTTTCCTGAACTAAGGTACAGAATACTTTATCTTATGTACCCAGGACCTAAATATATATCTATCAATCAGGAAAATGGAGTTTTTTAAAACACTGTAGGAAAACAGAAAATTGTATCTATGTAAACCAGTCTAGTGAAAAACGTAAGGAAAATATTTTTTTAAATACATGATGTGATGGAAATGAGACCAGCTAGGTCAGGAATCCCCAAGACAAGACTACACACTGCAAATTATAATGGATTCAAGTCTTCTCAGGTTGTGTACAAAAGTAAATTTCAGCTGCAATAGGATATTAGACAGAAAAGGGTTAAATATTCAGAGCAGTACAATCGGCACCAAGCTAAGCACAAAAGAACTAAATATGATTCTTAGACAAAGGCAGAGGGTAAAAAAGCATTACATTGAGTAGAGGTGTGTTAAAAAAAAAAAAAAGATAAAATTTGAAGATCTAATTGGCTTTATTAAGTAATTCATGAATGGGGCAGTATCCCATCTAATGAGTAGAGGGGAACTTTGAGGTTTTTAAAATGGAAAGAGAATGGGACAAAAAGGTACTAGCCAAAGAAAAGAAAGGATTGTTTCAGGCAGGGTCATCTTTCCTTAGGGAGAACAGCAGGGATTCTAATGAGGTGGATTACTTCATCTTCCTTTAGGAAAAGGAGAGGGCCCATGTGGCAGATTAACTCACTGGTGCTGACCAGAAAGTTCCAGATTTATTGGCTTAAATTTCTAATTTTTTAAAATGTTTATTTCCGAGAGACAGAGACAGAGACCCAGAACGAGTGGGGGAGGGCAGAGAGAGAGGGAGACACCAAATCCAAAGCAGGCTTCAAGCTGTCAGCAGGGCTCAAACTCACAGACAAACTCACAAACTGTGAGATCATGACCAACTCGATCGTTGGCTTCATATTTTGCTCTTGGAGAGGCGGAAACTGCAATTAAGTCTTGGTTTGTTCTCCTGGGGGCCAGTGACACCATCTTGGGCCTGTGGTTTTCTTTTTAACAGGCGTCATGGTCGTAGGTCTATCTGCAATGTAGTCAGACTGCTTTGCACTGAACTGGCTTCTCTTTCATGGCCAAATGTATGATAAAGAAATTTTGAAAGTGAATTTTCACTTATTTGCCCTTGCGTAGGTCTCTGTAAAACAAAGGAGATTAGAAGAAGAATCATTAGATATTTGGCCTTTTCCAGAGACTCACAAGAGACATCAAAAAAGAAAGTTCGAGTATTGTCCAAGGCAGTTAATTAGGTTCCAAGAAGATGCCTGGAGGCCAGCAAAGAGGAAGTTGTGGGAGCCAGCTGTCAGGAGAGTCCTAGGCCTGTCCTGATGGCTTTCTGAAACAAAGCCACCAAAAGCTACATCAAACCAGACAGGCCCAAGATAGCTGACAATTAGGTTGAAAACCCCTGACAAAATGAAGACAAAAAGATGAGATATCCTTGCCCCAAGTAATGAACATTCTACACCCTCGTTAACAACTGGCAATAAAAGATAGGAACCCAAACTCCGAGGATCTGAACTTCTCTCTCTCTCTCTCTTGCTCTCGCGCTCTCTGCCTCTCCCCACTTCTCTCTCCCTCCCACTTCCCTGCTCTCTATCCCAAGAATACACTTTTCACTTTAATAAACTTTACTACTCGTGTCCCTTGTCTGCTGTGTTGCGTGCCTATCCTTGAAATCTTTCTCACAACAGGACCAAGAACCTTGGCCAACCTCTTTGGGATGGGCTGTGTCCAAGCTTCAGGGTCCAGGGTCTCCCCAGGTCACCTGGCAAGAGTATCCCACAGATTTGCTAGCAACTTGGGCACATTCCTGAACCATCACTGGGTTGCAAACACCTTGTTGGAAGAAGAGCTGGAGACCATAAGGCCACGCTAGTGGATATCCTAGTTGGGTTTGCGATCCAGTCCCTGGGCCAGGTTTCCAGGCCCCATTGGGCCCCAATGGATAGAATTTTCGTGTGCAGGCTCCTTGACTTCCAGAAGCTGTTGGAGCCAGACTTTAGCAATCCTATTGTGAAGCCTGTGGTGGATAAAAGGTTTGGTTGGACATCCCCATGGCCCTCAGCCTAGTGAGTAATGATTCACATCTGCCTATGGACTATTTCAGTCATTCAACTCGTTTTCATTCTATTCAATCCTTCCCTTGAGTGGTCATTACTCTTAAGTAATTTATTCCTAGTGTTCTCTTCCTCCCCCCCCCCACATAGAAATCTTGTGAT